ACCCTTGGGATTTTCAATTAAGTATTTGTGGTAAGTATTTATTTATTAAATGTCTCCATAATCTTCATAAACTGTGTCTCTTGGTTTTTTTTTTTTTTTTTTTTTAGCTGAAATTAATGGAAAGAGACTTTGCTTTTTCTATTGTATGTTATATATTTATTAGATGATTGCACTCATCTTTATTTATTTATTTACTTTTATATATATTTATATTTTATATAAATAACTTTAGGACTTTATTATTTTCTATTGTATGTTATTATATAATTATTAGATGATTGCATTCATCATCTACCGGTACCCTTCAAGATGATGAGTGCACTGTGGTCAGTTGCGATCCATCTTGGACTCAAATTATGTGAGCGTCATAGATGCAGATGTGGAGCTTCTATTGATGAGTTTGGTTTGCATCCTCTCTCCTGTCGTCATAGTGCTGGCCGCTTTCCACAGCATGCAGCAATAAATGACGTAAGAGATTTGGATGCAGCTGGGTTCCCTTCCCAAATCGAACCCGTAGGCCTCGACCATGGTAATGGAAACCGGCCGGATGGCATTACTGTTTTCCCTTTTAAAATGGGGAAGTCGTTGATTTGGGATGCGACTTGTGCGGATACATTTCTGACCGGTAATTTGATCAGGTCTGAAGTTGAACCAGGTCCATCACCCAGGACGCTGAGATAAAAAAAAAATTGTTAAATATTCTTCTCTTACTGATAGATATTTTTTTTTACTCCTGTGGCAGTGGAGACTTCAGGGGTTATTGGCCCTTGTTTGATGACATTCCTTTTGAGGATTGGTGCAATGGCGTCTCTATTAAGGGACAAGCTTCATGAAACAGAGTCGCTCTTGCAGCATGTCTCACTGGCAATGGTTCGAGGTAATTGTTTCTCCATCATTGTAGCTGGCAGAGGATAGCAAAAAAAAAAAAACATTTTGTTTATAGTTACTTTGTTCAAACTATTTTTCAATAAATAAATTTATTAGAATAAGCCACATTTAATATTATCAGCAAACTTCCTGCATTCAGATAAAAAATGAATTCAGTAAATATACAAAAATAGGAGATCTTGTAGTTAAATACACTTTTGTGAGAATTTCTTTCAACGTATGCAAATTTTAGCTGTCACTCGATCTATAAAAAGTGCTTGAAGAGGCAACAGAAGTGTGATTGCTGTAACAAACAGGAGACATGTTGGATTGTTTGACCAAAGTTGATACGGTTACTTTGTTGCTAGAAGGAAACAGATTCTGAACATCTATTTAAAAGTCTGAAAAAAACTGATTATATTATTTACTTTCTCTTCATGTTACATGTGTGTTTTAGTTGTTGCTGCTATTATTGGGATTCTATAGGCCCAGGCCAGAAGGTTCAAAGAAGAATGATTGTTTCCAAGACCCTTAGACTTCTCTTATAGTGGAACACATCTATTCTATAGTTAATAGACTCTCCCATCTATAATAAGTAGTAGTAGTAATAGTAACAAGTCAGTCGCTCAGTGAGTTGATCAGTCAGTCAATGTCGGACGACAGACGAATACTAAACTATCAGCGACCACAACTAGATTTACTCTGCGTCATTACCTATTATATCAAGTTCCTAACGTTTTGTACGTTGAACCTATTTTAGGACTGACTTAGTACAAATACAAGCCTCCAGTGTCAAACCACTCCATAACAACTTCACTTAAAGACATTTTTAACCATTGATTTGAGAAAGCAGTTATACACAGTTGATAGTTTAGATATTTCTGAACAAGTTTGGCACCCTGCATGAAATCCATATGAAAGTTTCAATCAATTTAAAGTTGTTTAAGAATATAGCTCAAGTTTAATGTTTTGGTTTTGTAGCAACGTGTGGTATTGGGTGAAACTATGAATGAAACAACTGATTCATACAAGTACTGCTCTTAGGTGGACCATTTAGAGGCAGCATTTGAGAAAAAATATGTCTGGAATTATTGAAGAGTAAGCATGTAATATTCTATCAGAATAATTATAGACTTCATGTTTCCCTGGTGATAGGATAAAAATTGTTACAGCTTGGGCCAAAAAGGCTGAACACCTCTTCCATATTCCAGTAGGGAAGCTTCAGTTTTCAAATTCTTCCAGTCTTTGCATAATTATCTTTATTTTAAAAAATTCGTAAAATTTTTCTCTTAAAACAGTTTGGGAGGAAAATAGGTTTCTAAATTCTAATAGCTGTTATTGCACTTTCCAGTACTGACGAGGATTTTTTTTTTTTTTTACAACCTTTTGTTTGAAGTAGTATAGAACAGCAACATCTGATTATGTCATTCTGTTCTCTTTGAGTTAAATGTGCTATTCATTTTAGTTGTTGCTGCTCTTGATAGTCCTCAAGTGATGTGGCTTTTGTTAATTGGTACAGTGCTTTGGTCATGAATCTGTAGTGCCAGTCCACAATGTTCAAAGGAAGAAATTCATTCAATTTCAAATTTAAGTAAATGCTGTCTATTTCTATCTTATTGAAGTATCACAGCTTATAGGCAAATTGAAACACCTGTTCTCATACAATCACCAAAGTTAAGCAACATTGAACCTGGTCAGTACCTAGACAGGTGACCAGTTGAGAATACCAGGGGCTGTAAGCTTGGATGTGCAGGTGGTGTAATGGATATATTTTATTTATACCTGAATTTTTGCACACACTCTCATATATACATGCATACACCCTTGTGCAAATTAATTGAAAGAAAACGAGTAATTTCATTATTATTTACTTTTTTCATTTTTTTCCAATAAAACATGACCCAGTGCATATGTTAGTACTTTGTATGTCCATTCCATGAAGTTGTTACTTACAGATGGACCACAGTTTCTCCATTGTATTTAAATCCTGAGTTTCCAGGCATGTCTATAGTACTTTGGTTTGCTCACTGGTAAGGATTGCCAGTGTGTTCATGCAGCATTACGATTTTCATACGCTTTCTTGGAGTAACATCCATCACAGACACTGGCCTAGGACAACTAATCAACACTTGAGACATTAGTGTCTGGGTGTGATGAAAATTTGATGCCATCATGGATGACGCAATATTTTTCAAGGCTAAACAAATTTCATCATGTACTCAGAAAAATAGATTGATATTATTGCACACTGCTGCAAATGACCTAATCTGAGAAAAAAATAGAAATTGATTAGACCATGTCACTCCAGTGGGTCTAAAACTGACCATATGGTGAAAGAAAGAAAACTAAAGCGGTTGTTTCAATTAATTTACACAAGGGTGTAGATTGTTAACCACTTGACAATACCAGATGCTGTAAGCTGGGATGTGCAGGTGGTGTAAGGGATAATGGCTCAGAATTGTTAATTGGAGAGCTGAGCTCCAATTCCTGTTGTTTTTTTTATATTCACATATGTGCAAATACATCTGGGAAAGATAGGAATCCACCTCTTCTCCTCCAGATATGGGTTAATTAGTAAGACATTACTAAACCATTATCTCCTAGAAAAAAGTAGTGTTGAAAAATATTTTTTGCCTTTAAATAACCTGAAAAGGGTTGATAATCCATGAAAATGAATTGATCAGTATGAGGTACTTGATTTTAATAAAAAAAAATATATATAGATTCAAGTTCAAATTAAGAATGTGAAGGATATGAATTGTGTGTGTATGTATATAGATATTGTTTCTAATGCAAATATAATATTTTAAATATTTTTTACGATACTGTTCACTCTATACAAGGCCCTAGAGCCACTCAAGATAGAGGGTTAAAGAGTAAGAGACAGTGTTTGTGAGGATATTTGGGGAAGATAATAGTTAACCCTAGATTTGGAAAGGTTAAGATTGTATTGATTGGGGAAGCATAATCGTGGGAGTTAGTTCCACAATGTTGTAGTTTATGGGACTTACATCTCACAAAGGGAGTGAGGGTGGTTTGCTACAATGTGCATAGTGTGGCTGGTCTGTGAACGTCAGAACTGGTTGAACCAAAGGATGTAGTTTATCTGAACACTTTCCGTGGAAATAGTGAGAGTAGTGAGAGGCTTGCATCATTTGATCTGTGGGAAAGAAGTTGTATACCAAAAAATAAATCATCACTCACAAGGACATGGTGATACTTTTGGATTCTGTTGAAACTGGAAGACTGTGCAGCTCCATTTTTGACTTGATCAGGCTCTTGTAAAGATAGAGGATAGGAGATTACGAATTGGCAATGCGGTTTAAAATATACTTCATTTTCTTTCTTTTTTTTTTTTTTTAAATCATTTTATCTCAAACAAGGTGATAAAGCCACTAAGATGCAAGGAGGGTGAAGGAATCAGAAAACATTATTGAGAGAGAGGAGAATAAAAGGACAGAATTCAAGGAAACAGAAGATGACATTGCATTTACATTTTTGAAGATTGTAATTGAAAGAGAAGCAAGGAACCTAATGAGGTTACCACAAGCAAGAAGTGCGTGTGAAAAAACTATTAATACAGAACTTAGGGTTACAACTAGTAATTTCAACAATGAGATGATGAGATTTAACTGACAATTTAGTAATGCACTTAAATTTGTTAGCTAGCAGAGACTGTAAAAAATATTTCCTTCAGTAATTATGCAACATGAAGATAAACATTTAGAAAACCTCTGTATATAAACAGACTGCAATGCAATTTTTCTTCTACTATTGGACTACATTGCACATGTCAGGAACAACAAGACCTATTTGCTATTATGCTTAAATTCATGCAGTCAAGATAGCAAGGAAATAAAATTAAAATGACTGCCATAAAAATGTTTATAGAAAAGACAGAGGGAAGAAACATAAGTGGTGGGAAAGTAACTGAAGTCGAGATGCCAGGTCAGGATCAATAACATTGCAGACCCTCCTTTGGATTTTATCAAGAATCTTGAGATACATAGCCAGAGCACCAGACCTGATATAGCAGTAACATTCTATGCACGAATGATTTTTTTTTTTAATCCTTTACATCCAAGCAAGGCTATAATGCCACTAAGACACAAGGGCTTACTGGGAGTGGAAGAGAATAAGAAAACTTAAGTGAGGAGAAAGGACAATAAAAGAACAGTTTTCAGGAATACAGATGATGGTGACTGGCATTGCATTTAAATTTTTGAAGATAGTAAATGGCAAAAAAGCAAGAAATCAGAAGAGAGTTCCACAGAGTGCAAGAAAAGAAACTATTAAAATAGAAACTAGCAATTTCAATGATAAAATTATGAGACCTAACTGCCAATCTAGTAATGCACTAAAATTTGTTAGCTAGCAGAGAATTAAAAAAAAATTTCTTCAGTAATTGTGCAACATGAAAATAAACATTTAGAAAACCTCTGTATATACAGAGACTTTAATGCAGTGTTTCTTAAACCATTGAACTACATTGCAGCAAGGTCAGGAACTTTGCCAAAACTTTAAAATAGAAATTAATAAGCAGCTTTGGACTTGAGGATTGTGACTCATTGTGATTACTGCAAATTAATATGTATCACTTATTGTGTCGGTTTAGATCTATCATATATTTTTTTAATTATTCAATCTTTTTCTATTTCCTTACGTACCATTCCTGGTGAATAAAGCAACAGTTTAATTACTTCAGTTAGCCTATCGTTATTTGTGATAATTTAACACTTCCATTGCTGTTGGCATATTTATACATTTTTGCAAAACTTAGAGAAGATGCGCAGTGGCTCGGATTGTGGCATCAGAGAGCCGAGTTCAAACTCCAGTCAAGATCATTATGTTCACTTAGGTGCAAATTCCCTTCAGAAAGGTATGAATCCATCTTTTCTTTCCCCCGCTATGCATAAATACTCTCACCAATCCACAACTGGACAAGTGTGTCAATCAGGAAGGCATTCCTTGAAGGAGCTAGAACGTTCTGGATCTAAAGAACTTTCATCACTAGCACCTTATTTTTCTTTTTTTTTTTACACTAAAGAGATTCTATTTCTAATGTTGAGTTAATGACTAAATTGTATAACAGTTACTTTCAAAGGTTTCTTTAAGAGTTTTTAATTCATCTATGTTTTCTGTTAATATGAAAATGTCAATATATCTGACATTGTTCAGACTGTTCTCATTTCTTTTGTCATATTCACAAAATTTTGGCCATTGTGAATGCAACAATAAAGATCAGGACAACAGTCTGAACTATTTACATTGTTTGGACTATTGTCCTCATCTTTGTTGCCATATTTATCAAAACGTTTCGTTCTTCAGGTGGGTGGACTGTTGAACTGAACCCTTTATTTTGCTTGCTGGGGTAGAGTGTTAATTCCTTTCTCCAAGTTCTCCACTGTCTTAACCAGTGACAGGACCCAAAGATTGTGAGTTCAATACCTGGTTAAGGCAGTGGAGAATTTGGAGAGATGAATTAACAGGAGATAACTGATAACTATTAGATATGGTACGTAGAACTAGAACAGTCTACCCCAGTGAGCAAAATAAAGGGTTCAGTTCAAGATTCCAACCATCTGAAGAAGACCGGAGCATACAATGGCTGAAATTTTGTGATAAATATGGTAACAAAGATGAGGACAATAGTCTGAATAATCTAAATAGTGTACATACTACCTCATCTCAGAAATATAGACAGTCTGAACTTTATTTATATTATTCAGACTATTGTCCTCATTTTTGTTACCATATTTATCACAGTGTTTCAGCCATTGTACGCTTCGGCCTTCTTCAGGTGGTTGGAATGTCGAATTGCCCTTTATTTTGCTCACTGGGGTAGACTGTTCTAGTTCCACGTGCCATGTTTAATGGATGTCAGTTATCTCCTGTTAATTCCCCTCTCCAAGTTCTCCACTGCCTTAACCGGGTATTGAACACGCACTCTTTAGGTCCTGTCACTGGATCTAACCAATGCCTTTATCCACTGTGCCATGTGTCCTTGAGGATATCTGTGTATGAATTTCTGGGTATTATAAAATTAATACCTGAAGAAGGCTGGAGCGTACAACGGCCAAAACGTTGTGATAAATATGGCGACAAAGATGAGGACAATAGTTTGAATAATGTAAATAATGTACATAATACCTCATCTCAGAAATATAGACAAAGACCAGAGTCTGAACTGTGTACATAGTTTAAATAGTTACAATAGCTCATACCAGAAATATGGATAGATATTTGGCATATAATAAAGATTTGTTGAAATTATTACAGAACTTATCTAGATGGTTCATGAAGAAATTAGAGTTTGTGTGAAAATCTTATAATGATTGTAAAATGGTACTTGTATGGTAAAAGTGAGTTTCCATAAAAATTGATTTTCTGGACATCCTAGTAGAATAACTGCAGAGACAGTTGAAAGTACTTAGATTCCATAAAAGAAAAAAAAATAAACAATGGAAAGTTTACCAATTTTAATTCTAACATAACAACAAATTATTTGGAAAAAAAATAAGTAAAAAGTTGGAGAGACAGATATTGTTGGTATTTAAAAAAGAAGAAAAAAATTATATATGCTTAAATGCAATCATCAGGCCTAATGATTGCATTTAAGTATAAAACAGAAAGAGTTGATATGCCAAGAATATATGTCTGCATATCTGTAGATTTGTAGATAGATGCGTATGAATGGAATGATATATAGATATGAACAGAATGATAAATCGATAGATATG